GATCTGGTGGCTTAAAACTCACGCCAGGCGCGTGTGCTTGCATGCCCAAGATCCCAAGAGGAGAATGGAGAAGGGATTGTGGCATGACCATCCTCCCAGGGAGTGATTTCTCACTTTCTGTCTCTTTGTCTCTCTCTGTCTGTCTGGCGAGCATACATGCCCTATAAAAAAAACCTCTCAAAAAAAAAAAAAGAGGCAGTCAGAGGCCACCACCTTGACACTTGCCCCTCTGCCCCACTAGGTGGCCTCAGATTACATCCAGGTGCCTGGGTTAATCCCCTGTTCCCATTGCCAACGGCACCAAGGAAAACTAAGGCTCAGAATGGGCAGAATTCCTGAAAGAGGTTGGTGGCAGCCATTGGGAAAAGTGGGCCAGGACAAAATCCTCAGTGGATTCCTCAGTGGCCCTCAGAGCAGCTGAAGGGCCAGGGCCCAAGGGACAACTCCAAAGGGCACCAGTAGCATCTTAAATGGATATCGTCTAAGTTGCTCCTGGCAGTGAGTGCTCAGAGAACAGGGACACCGAGAATTTGGAAGCTCAGACACAGTCCAGGGCATTGCCAGAGTAATTGCTCAAGAAATGGGCTGTTGGTGTCTGGAGGGTTCTGCTGGGCCTTGATTCGCCAGGGGAGCTCCATTAGATCTTCCCTAACTCAAGTTGGGAATCCTAGGAGCCTCTCCAGCCCTCTTCCCCCTGCCTGTTGGGATGGCAGAGTTGGGAACATAGTGTGCCTGTGGTGGGGTGGGTTTCCTTCCGAAGCTGCCCCCACCCCACCCCAAGAGCTGGCTACGTGGCTCAGGAAGGGCACAGTTAGGCTAAATATAACCTGGGCTGGGCCGCCATCCCGGGCAGGGACAAGGAAGGAGGGCACTCTCTCTTGCCCCCACCCTGCTGAGCTTCCTGTGCCAGGCTCTGGGTGTGACCTGCACTGCTTAGTCTTGGAGCAGGGAGTCTGCAGGAGATCCTCCTAATGTCCCTACCAGCACGTACAAGGCCAGGATTCCCCCACACCCAGCTCAGGATGCTCTGCTGTGGGGTTCAAGGCCCCACTGTGTCACTGTGACCTCCTGTTTCTTAACTCCCATTTACTTTTCTGTAAAATAGAATCTCATGAGGCCAAGTCTCCAAAGTGCCTGTCCAGCCCAGGCCTGGCATTTGGACCCTTTCTGCCAGCCCATCTCCTGCCCAAGTTTTCTCGTGGCCTAGGCCTCCTTGGTGCTCAGAGCCCCCATTCCCATTAAGGTGTAGAGTAGGGGGTTTAAGCATGGGCTTCAGCTCTGCCCCTTCCTGAGCCTGTGACTCCGGACAGTTTAATTCCTGTCTCAGCCTCAGTTTCCACACCATAGCAGTCACTACATCCAGGGCGATTATAAGGCCCCTGGGTGCTAGCAGGAGTCCAGTGAAGAGGAAAAAAGCCCAGACATGGGAGCCAGCCAGCCCAGAGAGGTCTGGTCCCTATGTGGAAGGGCCAGGAGCTTGGGGTGGAGGGGAGGACACAGAGACCAGAATCCCTAGGAGATCCAGAGAGGAGCCTTCTGACACAGTAAGGTGGCTGCAGCAAGAATGGCGAGGGATATCCTCCACAGCCAGTGGTGGGCTATGAAGGGCCATTGTGCAGCTGCGAGTGGGTGGGCAGGGGCGGAATGTGCCTGGGCACAGCAGACAGGCCATTGTGTGAGGGAATGTGCCGCGTGAGGCCTGACCTTTCCCTGTGCAGCAGAGGTTGGCGGGTTGGCATGCCAGGTGGGGGCTGTTCTGGGGGGTGAGGGAGACCATGTCCATTTCCATGTTCTCAGAAGGGCTTGGTGGGAGGCTGCTTATGAACCCCAGCTCTTCCTTCTTCTTGTTGTGCTGCGTGAGCTTGAGCAAACGCTCTTGGCCTCTCTGGGCAAGGCACTCAGGTTCTCCAAGGGGAGGTAGGCAGGGAAGCTCTGAGCTCAGGGACTGGCAGATAGTAACCACTCAATACCCATTAGTAATTATCTGCACAAGGGGCTGGAGCTTTCAGACAAGTTCAAGTCCTGGCTCAGTCATTTGTAGCTTGGGCAAGTGGCTTTTTTGCCCCAGCTTCAGGAGTTTCCTCTGTAATGGCTTAATAATAGTACTGACCTTGGGGGTCAGCAGGCGGTGTGGCTGGATCCCACATGGCTGACAGTGCAGTTTGAGTCCCAGATCCGGACCCAGTGGCTTAAAAATCACACCAGGCATGTGTGTGTGTGTGCCCAAAATTGCGAGAGGAGAACAGAGGAGACAAGATTGCAGTATGGCCATCCTCTCAGGGCGGGAGGGGGTGCTTTTCACTTTCCTTCTCTTTAGTGAGCAAATGTACCCTATAGCAAGCAAGCAAACAAACAAAAACCAGAACAAACAAAATAGTATCAACCTGGGAGGCTGTTCTTAGGTTCCCATGGAATGATGTCTGTGGGGCATTTGACAAGGTCAGGACCACAGGAAGTTTAGTAATAATAATAGCAGCCAGTGCTTATAAGATGCCTACCCAGCCTGATACTTTTTACATAACTCACTTGACCCTCACAGAAGCTCTGTGAGGTGGGTGAAGTCCAGAGGTGAGGTGGCCTCTGAACCTGCTGCAAGGACATGGGAGTGGTTGTGATTTTATAATGAGTGTGGACCCTTCAGTGGGCCAAGGTGGTGCATGCAGGGGTAGCTTTGGCTTTATTGTTTGTTGAATAGTTGTGTTATTTGGGTAAAGGTTTTCCGAACCTCAGTTTCCCCACCTGCTCTATGGAGATAGGGTACTGGCAGAGCTTGGGAGGGTCAGGCACCAGAAAGCAATCTGTGTTAGCCCGTAATACTGCTCACCTTATCCTTCTTAGAGCCCCGGACCCAGGAAGCACAAGGAGCTGGAGGTGACCCTCAGGTAAGCATTGGCTGGTGCCATGTGCCCCTCCCTCTTTGACCCTCCCTGGCCTGTATGGAACCTCAGGCCCCATCTCTCCCTGGCAGGCAGGAAGACCACAGAGGAAAGGCGTGAGCCCCGCAGACGCCTGTGCAGCACCTCGGGCTGGGCTCCTGTTAGGTGGGAGTGCCTGCGCCCAGGCAGTGGTGAGAGGATGGCTGGGGTGGGGGAGCCCTTCTCTTCTGATACCCACCTTGGCCTCCCCCTCTAAGTCCGGTGCCCATTTCTCAACCCCTCCTGGCCTCAAGCCTCCATCTCTGTCCCTTGCAGGCTCAGAGGCAGCTACTCCATGCAGAGCTGAAGCTGGTCCTGCAACAGAAGGGGGAGAAGAAGCAGGAGTCTGGGGCCCAGGTGACTCTCAGCAGTGCCATGGAGGCCAGGAGCCGGAGTGCTGAGGTGAGTACCCACATGTCCTGCCAGGGGGTCTCACGGGATGTGGAGGAGTGGCACAGACCAAAGCAGCAAAGAGATACTTTCTCGCTTCACTGTGCCTCAGTCTCCTCATCTGTGAAACAGAAATAGCAGTAAGGCCCATTGTGAGGAGAAAAAAAATGGACACATTAGTGCAGTGCCTGGCACAAAGACTCGGAGAGTTAATTCACTGGAACATAAAGGAGTTACGAGAACTCAGCAGAAACCCTTCAGCAGCAGAGGCGGGACAGTGCAGGGGGGAAGGACATAGGCTTGGCCAAATGAGCTCACATCCCAACCTACCACTTCAGCTGTGCAGTCCTGGGCGCACGACCATGCTTTCTGAGTTTGTTTCTCCATCAGTAAAATGGGTCTGCAGTTCCCACCTGCGAAGGGTTTGAGGACTCACGCTTGGACTGCTCACTTGGTCTGGTACGAACGAAGCTTTCTTGAATGTAGCTGCCATCGCCGTTATTGAAGTAGAGCATTGTCCTACTGTGTGTTAGCCATGGAGTAGACCTACCTTTTTTTTTTCTCTTTTTTTTAGGTTTTCGCCATAGGGCACAATATACTTGCCAGAGAAACAGAGAGGGAAAAATAACTCCCCCCACCCCCCAGGAAAAATAGCCATACCACAATCCTTTCTCCTCCATTCTCCTCTCAGGATTTTTGGCACACATGCACATACACCTGACATTATTCTCAAGCTACTGGGTCCAGGGCTTGAACCGGGTTTGTCATGTGAAAGTTCAGTGCTTTAGCCACTATGCTACCTGCTGACCCATAGTAGGTCTTCTTTTATAGGAGCCACACTGGGGCTGGGAATAGTAGGCAGGGGATAAAGCGCCAGGAGGTCACTGCCCACAGGAGGGCCTATGGGTTCTCAGATCATAAACCTAAAGTTGAGACCCAGGTGCTTAATTTGCATGTGGCATTAGGCAAGTCACTTTACCTCTCTAAGCATTATTAGGGTCCTCTTCTGTGACTGCCTAAAGCTGTGGGGAGGATGAAATAAGAGGCACAGGGGACCAGCAGGTGGCGTGGTGAAGACTGGACACTCCCACATGACCGACCACGGTTTGAGTCCTAGACCTGGTGGCTTGGTTTCTCACTGTTCCTCTTTCTCTCTGTTTCTCTCTCTTTGATCAAATTAAAATAAATGGAAAAAATTAAAATAAATGGATGAATAAATAAATAAATAATTAATTCAAAAAAAGAAGAAGAAGAAGAGGCAGATAAAATTCCTCACTCAGGGCATGTTAAGCCAGAGGTAGCAAGTGATGGTCTTACCATCCCCTGCACAATTCTTATGCCTTCCTACATTGCCCTGCCCAGTCCCCTAGTCCCTTGGGGCCTGCTGTGGGGTATCAGGTCTGCTTTGCCCTTTCAAAGCTCTGGGCTCGATTTCAGCATGTCCTGGCCTCTGTGTGCCAGTGGATCCCCTGTGGCTTCAGGTCTCTGCTCACCAGAGACTCCTTCCAGTATATCCTTTACAGAGTGGTTAAACTATCCTCTAGGCACACAGCAGACTGGATTCCTACATGCGACCCAGATCTCTCACTGTCTTTTCTGGAAAGCTGGGATGTGAATCTTACAGTGGTGACTGCAAGATGACAGCCTGCACCAATGACAGTAAATACCAAGAATGCCATGTCTACGGCCCACGATTCATTACCCGCACCCCTCCCCCACTCTCCTGTGGGCGTTATGCAGGTCTTGGGGGTCAGAATCCACAATGGGACACAGTCTACACACATTGGGGCCTTCAGTGGGCAAATCCCACTCCCCATAGTCCCCTCAGAATCCCACTCTCGACCTTACCCCTCAGTTCTGCTGTTAGGAAAGTTCTTCCCCACAGCTCAGTCTTGCCCTCAGAGTATGGGTCTAGGTCTTAGCTGCGCACACCCTTCTCATATCTCCCCACCACCCATTTTTTTTTTTAACTTGCCAGAGGGCAGGCATTCACTAAAGAGAGAAAGAAAGGGAAATCAGGAAAGCACTCTTCATAGGGCATGGTCATGCCACAATCCCTTCTTGTCCATTTCTCCATCCTTTTGGAATTTAGGGCAAGGACACATCTGTCATGTTTTTTCCTCCCTCCCTTCCTTTCTTTCTTTTCTTTCTTTCTCTTCCTCCTTTCCTTCCTTCCTTTTTCTTTCTTCTTCCCTCTTTCTTTTTGGCACTAGAACTGGCGTGTGGTCGCCAGAGACAGAGAGGGGAGACGTGAGAAGTCACCTCCCCAGGGCCGGATGGTCAAACCCCAATCCCTTCTCCAGTTTCCTCTTGGGATTTTGGACGGTGGTGGGGAGGGCGCGTGAGCGCGCACACACAACCACCCACACA